AAGTTCACTTGCTTTCCAAAACAAACCCTTCCAGTAGCCACATACCAAGTTTAATGCAGTATTCATGGACTTCAGAGGGAGTAATGCACAAGCATAGCCAATAGGACTTGGACAAATCTAATTATAGAGATCAAAACTGTGCTGTCTCTGGCTGGTAGGCTTTCTTGTCTGCAAGTTCTTGAGCATGTGTTCCTGTTCTCGGGCATAAGAACAAAAAAATGTGGCACTACTTCATGTTAGGCATAAGTCTTCAAGAAAGTATAAAAATAGGTTAGAAAAGAAAAATTCTCAGCAGATTTATTTTTGTCACTTCCTACCCACACCCAAAACTAACCTTTCCTGTCAACCCACTTGTTTTTTTTTTTTCCACTGGCTGAACGAAATAATACAACTAGGCTATTCTTTCCTCCCACCAACTCATCCAATATTCTTCAATGTTATTTCAGATATAAGTTTAATTTATTATCTGAAGTAATAAGCATAAATTCAGTTTTAAGGAAAATGCAGTTTTGCATAAGTCTGTTGCATAGATCTTCCATTCTGTGTGCTCCATCTGCATGTGCAATCTGCTTCTGTATTTTCAGCCAGCTTGCATGGGCAGAATAATGCATACAATTAGAAAGCAACCTCACAGGCGTTCAATAAACTGCCTTCATTATTACACTCAAGAGAGCCCCTTTGGATGTCTATAAAAGCCTAGTTTTCTGCCTGTTAACTAAATAATTGACAATGCTTAAAATAATAAGGAGCAAATGAACAAAATGAAGACCATTGTGGTGAAAAGAAGCAAACAAAAGATTCTCAAGGCTGCAAACCCTTTTTGTGCAAGCCCTCTTTCATTCTCTCTAGCAATCTGTATTAAAAGTCTGGTCAGGTTTCCACTTGCACTTCTGTGGGGAAAATTTGTTACCAGCCTGCTGTTTGAACCACACATCATAGGGGACTGAAAACTGGCAAGGACACTAGTATTTACCCCGTGAAAATAGATTAAAAAAAAAAAAAAATCTGGTTTGATTCAGGTTTTATTTTCTTGCATTTTATGACTTCTGAGAAAACTGCTTTGGCAGGCAATTGTATATCAGCTTGGTTTGGTGAACCTTCTGCATTGTGCTCAGAATACGCACTTAGAGGCACTCTGGCAAGTTCTGTTTCCAGCTCCAGATTCTGAGCAGCACATATTGAGTGCACACATGTACCTGAGTACAGCAGTGCCAGGCATTTTTACAGGAGTACAACCTTCACAAAAACAGAGGCATGAACATGTAATAAAGGGAAGGATGAAGTGATATAACAGCCATGGTGTACTATTCAAAAGTAACCCAATGTTCTAGACCGCTTTTCTCATTATGCAAATAGATAGATGGCTATTAGGAAAGCAGTGGACCCCATCCAACATTACAGTTACTGGGAAGTCAAATCCAAATTAAATAAAAGCACCTTACTAGAGAGCTGGGCTAAAACCATATGGTGAGACATGCTGCAGTTCAGGAACAGATTCACACAGCTTGCACAGCAAGCCACAGAGAAAAGCAAGTCACGAATTAGCCGTCTCTCATTACTGTTTAAATGACAATTTTTGTGTCCTATCTAAAGAGGGATGTCATGAAACATCCTCAGCCAGCCATCTAACCTCTTTTTTGTTCCCACTTGGAAAGATGGACAGTCAGTCCTTTTCTCACCAGGATTAGAAATTGCAAAGTAAGGACTACACAATCATTTATCACCTTTTAATGCACTCTGACAGAAACGCAGTCTCTGCCACTGGCCATCAATGTAAAATACATCCAAGACACCATTACTCAGAAGAAAAGCTTCCGCTTCATGTGTAAGCAGTTTCTGGTAGAAAAGGGGACAAATACTTGGTTTCTAGATCTGGCATCTGCAACAGCAGAACCACAGCAATACCAACACAAATCCCTCACCTGTTTCTCCTCTGTTAGTACAAACCTGCCATGCAGCAGCTCCCCCAGCCCAAAGTCTGTTCCTGTGTGCTCTTCAGGCTGTTTATACGCAGTTGCTTTAAGAGACATCTTGTGAGGTTTTGTCCATTTTGTTCACCTAAGAGAGTTTGAGCCCACCAGGGTCAGAGGAGCTGATAATCCCAAACGAGGAGCTTCCAGACTTTTCCACAGCATTCTGTATGCATGCCTAGACCTCATTCTCATAAGACATAAACACATACCCAAGCAACTGTGACAACAGATACCGTTGACTTCCAAGGGCTACTTGTACACAAAGAAGCTAACAAGATGGGAAATAATTGCAGTCTGCAGACAGTGGACAACATTGCAGACAATTTTTCCTTTTGGCATACACTTACTTCATGTTACACCCTTTGAAAGGTGATTTCAGTGTTTTTAATAGTGACAGAAATTTAATCAGGATAACAAACTTCTGGGATGCATCATACTTCGTTACCAGAGTACGTTAATGACATGAGAATCTTAATTGCCTTTCCTTATCAAATAGAAGCGGCATTTCGTACAGGAGAGCTACCGATTGGGCTGTACCCCATGGAGCCTGATACAGCTAGAGGTGGCGATCAATTTTAAAAGGTTTCCCAGCTAATGAGACTGCTGGTAGGCATTGATCTCCTCAGGAAAATTGTGATGTTGCAGCTGCAGATGCTTACAGAGGACAGACTAACAAGGCAGCTTATCTTTTCAAAGGGCTCCACAGGACATGACTTTGCAGAGGTCATGCTGATTTATATGCAGCGCATGACCTTCCTACCTCTCTCCCAGCAAGCAGGGGAGGAGATCAAAATACTCTAGCAGAGACAGCAAGGAAAGGGGCATAACCTCATATTTGTTCTCTTTGCCTCTAGACATAGCGTCCTAAATGATGGAAGTAATGAATTGCTCATTTTTGCATGGTAGGCAAAAGCACATCTTTAAATGTCAAGCACTTCTACGTGAACATGTCTAATAATGTCAGTATTTCAGTGGAGTAACTTTACAGGATCCAAGATGTCACACAGTATCTTTCCATTACTTCTGGATGTTGTGCTCCATAAAACCAGTATTTCTTAGCCATACAATCTCAACAACATCCAGTGGTAAAGACTCCCCTTCCTCCGCCCATCAGAGGCCATCCCCACTGTACAGCATGGGAGGTTTTTGCTTAACCAAAATTGCATTCACTGTAGGTAGATTTTCAGCTTACTTCCTCCAGGTGGAGTATCTGCAGGGCCCTCATGGTGCATGTTCAATACATGGTATGTACGAATAATCTTCCAATAGTTGTACATAATCTCAAGCAAAGGAGCTCCCTCTTTACCTTCAGTTGCATCAGTCAGTTTGTTTTCCTAAGATGACACCAGCTGAATGCTCACTGATTCCTAAATCAGTGGAGAGAATGGCTGCCAAGCAGTCTCCTTGTCAGTGACCAGGTAGCTCCTGCACCACCTGGGGACCAACCGACTGCCCACGAGAAGGTGTTTCAGATGGTTTGGGCCTCCTTTTGACAGAACAAAGCTTACTTTTAATGGAAAAAGTGCTGATCAGCAGAATTCACTTCACCCTAAGCAAAAAAATGTATCAACAGTGAAGGTGAGGGACAGGAAGACATATGTCTCTGTTCATAGCTGAATAAGATGTAAGACAAGATCAGTTTAAATGGGAAGCTGACAATCCCTTCAGGAAAAACCAAGTCACATAACTGAGGACCCTGCACTGAAAAGATCTAATGAGGTCGTTGTTGACTTAGGCTCAAAGAGCATGAAGGTGTCTGGTCTGGCAGAAACAGGCAGAGATCTAAAGCTGTGCGGGGTCTTCAGAAACCCTGGGTAATCCAGGTGTGTGTGGGAAACCCACACTGGGACAAACAGAGGGACAAACAGCAGGCAAAATGCCAATATCTAGAGACAAACTTTGGCAATGTATTTAAGGAAAGAGTTGTACCTAAAGCCAAATGGAAAGAAATAAAAGGAAAAACTCAAGAAAGGCTGAGATCGGTGAGAAAGCACTAAAATGTCTATACATCAGAGAACAGTCTGGGCAAATGATGAAAGAACTGGAGGTACTAGCATGGGACAAAACTGACTCCTTTAAAGGCCACAGAGGAGGAAAAAAAGCAATCAATCATGCTAAGAACACAGGTAAGCAATTTCAGAAGCCAAAGATAAAAAAGGTAAAGGTGACTAAACAGTATTGTGTGTTAATTATGCGATAGAATCGGTCTGGATCAGGTAAAACTAAGTAAATAGGGTAGAGTAGAACCGGCAAGGCAGGAATTTCACTGCCAATGGAAATAATTATGCCAGAAGTTACACTGTGTCTAAATCTGACATTAAGGAGGTATTCTGAGGAAATAGGTCTTCACAGCAGATCTCTACATTTAAGCTGTAGGACCATGCTAAACATATGAAGTCCTCATTATTTCCATGTGGGTTGGATTTCTTTACATATTGATTCAGTTGGAGAAAGAAAGCATAAAGTCATTCTATAATCCACAGTTTTCATTTCAAAGTGTATGTTTTGAGAAGCTAACAGAAATCTACTGAACCAAATCTCTCACAGAATAAGGCATGGACAAGGCTTGGAATATTTCACAGAATCAGAGTGATTGAGGTTGGAAGACACCTCTGCAAGTCATCTTGTCCAACCCCCTGATCAAGCAGGACCACCTAGAGCCAGTTCTCCAGAACTTTTGAATATCCTCAGAGATGGAGACTCTACAACCTCCCTGGGTACCCTTTTACCCATGCTTAGGCACCCTCATGTTAAAAAAGTGTTTCCTGACGTTAGGAGGACTCTCCTGTGTTTCTGTTTGTGCCCATTGCGTCTTCCCCTGAAGTCAAAAGTTTCAAGTCAAAAAATGAAAACACAGCAACAGAAGCCAAACCCTTCCTGAGTCCCAAACTCGACAAAAGCAAACAAATAATAAATAAAATAAAATAAAATAAAATAAAATAAAATAAAATAAAATACAAAACCCACCCAAAACAGAAGGACAAGCAGATGAGGAATTTTAGGTAATAAATTTCAGATTTTACTTACTAATATTGATCATCAAGGAACATCTCTCTTCTTTGCATTTCTTGCTGCCTTTTCTTTATTTCAAGTCTTTCTGCCTATAGCATTAAAAACAGGAAAACAGAATTGAGATTCTAGTAAGTAAGAAACAAACACTGATTACTTCAATTCAAGTATTTCAATACTATGAGGTGGTTTTTTTAAACAGCTATAGCAGCAGTTGGATACAGAAGTGACCCAATCTCAAATTTAAAAGTATTCAGACATGACCAAACACCTCCTAGTCAAGAAACCAGTCTGAAATAGAAAAACACACTGTGCTCCTGGCATAGACCCATCTATTCTCACAAAGGCCCTTGTGAGACTTCACACCACTGTTTGGGCCATCGCTTGGTAAAACTGATCCAGCATTGGTCCTATGAAGAAGGTAAAGGATGTGAACCACCTCACCAAACCAGCTGATAGTCCTGTAGCACTGAAAGCGAACTGATACAAGTACATGTAGCTCTGTACACAGACCTGTGGCCTTCAGGAGCATAGGTATGGCCAGTTGAGTGTATGTTAAGACGGATGAAAGTGGGAGGCATTTGTACTTAACCAGTGTTATTCTGCCTCAGATAAACTGACAAGTCAAATAGTCAACCAAATCCTTGCCACACAAAACTCCTCTGGAAGTCTGGATACCTTACAAGCATCTGGACTGCATTAAGGACTCAATTAAGCCCTTTAATATAAAATTGTACATAATTTTCAGTGGAAGGTTTTTCTAAGCTGCCCCCGCCCCCAAATTCAAGTAGAATAAAACATTAAAATAAAGCAGAAACAAGAAAACCTGCTGCAATAGCAATATATAGCTCCAGCTAAATTCCAGTCAAAAGGAGGCCAGCCAGATTATTTTTTTTTGACACACAGGTTGTAGGTCCAGTGGAAAAAGCAGTCAAAAGGCAGTTCACTGTATTAAAAGCACAAATCAGAAGTGCCAAACTGGGATTTCAACCCTGGTATATTTTGAGCAGAAGCTCCCCCACTGTGGTTGGTGGGGGAATGATCCAACAGAAGCTCCTACCCAAGGTTCACAACAAGTAGCATGTTGAGCAAACTGCAACCTTGGACTGCCACTGCTCATCACCCACCCTCAGAATGAACAAAAAGTAATTGTTTGGTAACCCAGCAACCAGGCATTGTTCTAAAGAAAGTGCCCTGGAAATTTCAGACAACGCCTTGCAGAGAACAGAAGGGAGGTATAAGTGGGAATGGCCCATTTGGTCAGAGCCCCAGATCAGAGACAGGACACTGCCCCTGGGTGGAGGTTTTGTGCAGGGCCAGGTAGAATGGCGTGTGTGCTTGTGAAAAGGGGAAAGTGGTGCTAGGAACAGGGCTGTAACCCCCACCCCCATCATTTTCTTCCCGTTCTGCAATCAATAACATTTCAGTAAAATTACAATTCTACTGGCAGTTACTCAATTACTTTGCCTTCAGTGATTTCAGGGTGAGTATTTTTTAATTGGATAAAGAATAACTGTCTGGAAGAGATTTGCAAAACAAGTGCAAATTCCTTCTCGGCGTGTATTGAATAAGAAAAAAAAATCCTGTCAGATGTCTGTAGAAGGGAAAAGAGCCACTGTGCTGTGCAACAATGTGAACTGTTGAAAGGCAAAGGACTTGTTATTTACAAAAAAGCAATGCAAAAATAAATAAAAGGAGGAAGATGAATCTCTGAATAAGATGTCCCATTGCTCAGTCAGGGAGCAGAGACATTGGTAGTACTGATGCAATTAAAAATAAATAAAAAAAATGGGATTTCACCCCACAGTATAGGTAAATTTTGACAGTGTTCAAGGGATATCTAGTTTGCTCCTACTCAGAGGCAGATGATATTTTAGGCAAAAGGCTCCCACTCATCTTTTCAACTTAACAATTTACAAGGAAAAAAGGACAGAGAAAGAAAGGAAATCTGATGGCATCTATTGTCAAAAACGATGTTGCTATCCTCCAGATATCAGTAATAGCTCCCAGGATTTTCCCCACCACTGCTCAACATTGCAAGCTGATGCCTTCACCTCTGAAAACAACACTTGATGTGGGATCCACCATCATATTGCAAGGCTCCTGAAAGTTCAAACCCAAAGTTCACCAGTTACTGTGGTCTAGCTCCCAGCTAGAACATGACAGTGATATTAACTTTGATAAAGACAGTTCTTCAACATCACCTCCCCCTCACAGTAGATAAAAATGAAGGAAATAAATACCCTACAGCTATTCAGAATGGTGCTTGAAGAAAACTCCAGCATATTGAAATTATTTACTTGTGGCTGGTGTGACTGTTTTCTCCTCTGGAGGTTTACTCTGGGACCCCTGCTTAGGACAGGCAACGGGACTGGGACATTCTCTAACTAATGACAATCTATCACTAGATGTTGCCAAAGTACTCCACATTTGGCACAGACTTCAAAAAACAAAGCCAAGAGCAGAACAGCTGTGATATTGAAGGTAAACATGTTGAAAAGCATTAGCAGAAGGTCTGTAAAGTGCCCGGTTTTAACAAATTCCCAAAAAAGGCCATTCATGCTGATTAACACAGTCAAATTAAAGAGCACATGATTTGATAAAGAATAAAATGAAATTACAGCTTGTTCTAAATAGGACAGTTTCCACTTAAAGATGGCAGAACTGTTAGTATGTAATGTAAGAGCAAAAGAAAGTTGCACACAGTAGAACTACACTAAGCCTTTTCACTTCACATCTTTCGAATCTTTAAATATTATTCATCAAGATTTATACTACACAAGCAAAGACTAAAGGCAGGATAATAGGAATAGAGCTTGAATAGCAGGAAACAAATATCCAGTGAGCTAAGTTATGCTATTTTCTATACAGCACAAATGCAGAAAGCTTAAAAAACAAGAAGCCAAATATCACCCACTTGTTTATTTTCTTGGGAACTTTGACAATCCTTTCACCCAAAATCATAGAATCACAGAATCAATTACATTGGAAAAGACCTTTAAGATCATCAAGTCCAATCGTTACCCCAGGGCTGCCAAGTCCATCACTAAACCATGTCACTAAGAGCCTCATCTACCATTTTTTGAGCACTTCCAGGGATGGTGATTCCACCACTGCCCTGCACAGCCTGTTCCAATGCCTGAACACCCTTTTGGTGAAGGAATTTTTCCTAATATCCAGTCTAAAGACACAAAGAAAGTGGAATTGGGTCTGATCAAAATCTGTGATGTGAAGGGCTACACAAAAGATGCCTGCTACTAGTGGGTAAATAATAACAATGCTACTTCCCATGTACTCCCACACTTTCTGCAGAACAGACACATATCTCAGCATTAGGGACAAATACAAAAATACGGACTTCCCTGATAGTGTTACAAAGTCTCTCCAAAATTATTTCAGTGAGCACTCAAAGATCACTAGCTTAGAAGAATATCCAAACTCATGCAGCCCAGAGTTATCCCATGAACAAATCAAAGCAGTCCCAGGACAAGCTGCCTGCCACGGAGTGCACGGGATCCCAAATCCCATTCACTGCTCCACATGGACACCTGAGTTCCAGTTCACACAAACTGATCCTGTAGAGGTACCTCACAGAATGAGGGGGAGGATCCACCCTTCTCTATGGGAGCTGGAGAGAGACAAGGTAGATGCCAAGAGCGTTGGTAGTCCAGCACCAAACCTCATGGTTAATGAAAATACAAGAGAGACGAGCAGGTGGACTTGTATAGATGGTAAGGCAGACCTTCCACATTTGGGTACTGCTTTGGCAGACACCCAGTTTTTCTCTTGGTCGCAAAGATAATGGGAGAGTGGATACTGCTTTTTGCTGCAAAACCAGCATTAAAGCAGTAACATAAACAGATCCTGTGTTTACAAGCAGCACCGGCTTGTACATCATCTTTACAATCAAGGAAGAACTGAGCTGGGTACCAGCACCCATTCTAGTCATTGCACATTAGTCCATAGGGCTTCACCATTCACATTTGTTGGCAAAGTAGCTTTCCAGCTGTTAAAATTTCAGGGGCCCTGCTGATAAAGCTGGCTAGCCATTATCTCCTTTCAGACTGTCTGACAATTTGGGTTTTATTGAAACATAGAATCATAGAATAGTTAGGGTTGGAAAGGACCTCAAGATCATCTAGTTCCAACCCCCTATCATGAGCAGGGACACCTCACACTAGACCATGAATAATAACTTTGAGCAAAAGAAGGACTGGCCAGCAAGAAAGCTTGTGCATTTGTAGAGAGACATGCTTTCCACTGGGTTCCTGCAGGTGCAATTGTCTACAGATCTATCACTTTAAAGTACTCCTGCACTAACCAGGGCCTAACATTGCTTGTACAGTACCAGTTCTTTAGGATCCCTTTTCTGTCATGCTCAGCTCTTGGGAGCCTTTCGTCTGCAGGCAGGGTGAGACAGCCAAATTGACACCTTTTAGAGGCTTTCCAGCATGCTTTCCTTAAACACAGAGCTGAATTTTTAATATATAAACATCTTCCAAGCAGAAATCACCATCAGCTCAATCACTATTGTGGAAGACAGGCCAAATAAAGAAATTCAAATTAAGAGTTCCCTTTCATGCTTCTCTGTTTTGTTTGTTTGTTTTGTGGGTATATGTTTGCTTATTCAAATTAAACCGTCTGTTTGGCAAAGATGTTTTGCCATGATGTAGCATTCTCCTTTAGAAGAAACTGATAGTTAGGGTTTTACTATCTACAACATCTATAAAGATTTTATAATCTGTGGGAGTGAAGGGAAAGAAATTAAAGAGCATGAAAAGAAAACTGATACATCAATATATTTTCTAGGTGTAACTTTAAACTATAGCAGTCTTGCAACATCTTTCGTGTCAAATGCCTATGGGCAAACAATATATTTAATAGGTGAATAAAGTATAATTAATCCCCTTTCTGCAATTGCTATCATCACTGCTTCTGGAGCTGTTCATGAGCTGGTAACTGTTAACGACATTTTCACATGACAGTATTTATTGCCCCTGTGAGCTATTGGGTATGGGCTTACCCTCAAAGAGCAATGCTAACCACTGAAAGACTGGGAACAGACTAACCCTTACCTAGAAGCAATTAATGCTATTTCTGTTTGTGGGTGCCCTCGTAAGCCATACAGTAGTGATGATTTTTTTAATTAACTCAGCATTTAGCTTCTGCACAGAAGATCGTTTTTACTGTTGTGAAGACAAAACCTGCAAACCTGAAATCTCCCTTTCTCTCATCATTACTGTGCGTATCAGTATCATGCTCCTCCTCTTCTCTCTTTCATTTAAATTCCACATTACATTCTCAAAAGAGTGCTACTTGGTTGCCGCCAAGGAGACAGGAGTTAACTTTTGCAAAGGTTTATGCAGCACAGAGTATGATAAGATCCTTTGTGAGAATTACTAAGAAAAAACCCCAAAGAAACACAAAATAAAACATAGTATATGAAAGAGAGCTACCATTGGTGTTGATGTATGGTGAATATTAGAAGGAAAAGTGACCTTACATGTTAGCAGTACAGCTGGGCGTGCAAGCCCCAGAGGGGCTAGAGGGACATTTGAATTTCAGGGTGAGCTCAGCATAACACAGATAGACTACACTGACCTCTTCATGATTTGCATTCCTTTTCCACCAGGACAGGCTGGATTTTCTTGTATTCTTCCCAGGTGTACAGCAGGCAGCTATGGATTTCTATAAGGTCTTTGTGTGATTTGCCACAATCTGATTTTACAGAGAAAGCTCATGCCAAAGTGAACTATATAATCTGTATACACAACAGTGTGTGACCTGTGTTCCTCTTACCCTACTGTATTCCCTTTCTGGTAACTCTTCAGGATGGATGCAACTGAGAGGCTGGAGTTTCTGAAGACCCAGAGGAATGCTCAAGCCCCAGAGAACACCAGGTCAGGCATCCTTCAGTCAGTGACAAAGGAGAACTAGATTTCCTAACTCCTTGATGCAATCCAGGGCTACCATTTAATTTAATTAGTCTCTTCAATGTAGTTCAGCAAAATCAAGTATCAAGACCTGACCTTTGTTATATGGCTCCAACTCTGCAGCAACCATACTTACCTTTTCTCTCTGAATGGCTTTCTTTTTCAGGATTTCATCTTCTTCAGCTTCCTTTTTCGCTTTTATATGTTCTTCTCTCTTGAGCTGCATTGACATAAACATAGAAAATCATTTTACATATATACGCATACAAAGAACACATAAGGTGACTTGACTTGACTCCTGTAATGCACATCTTTCAAATCTAAAGTGTGTTTGAGGAGAGTTTCCACAATTTTTTCTTAAAATGAGACACCAAATAAAGCAGGCTGTGCACCAGCTACTCCAATATCGGCCTTAAGATGGCTGAGAAATCTAGGACTGATAAACAGGTATTCATGCAAGGAATCACACAGCTGATTGATAACTTAATAGCATTTAAACCTTTTATAACAGGAACAACATTTCTACATAAGCACTGAATGGGGTGGTGTATCGATCAATTAGTTGAAGTGTAGGCAGCATGCCAGATGATACAAGAAGGCATATAAGTAGCTTTACAACTGTATGGGTTATCGCTTTACATATGATCTGTGATATGGCTTGCTACATATTTATAGCCAGATTTCTCATTTTCTTTGGTGCAGAACATTTGTTTCTAGTTTTCTGCTGCTTCCTCCAGGTTTCATGGCTTTCTTTTGTCAAGCAGCTGTGAGTTCATTTTATAGCCATATGAAACACTTCATGAAAAGTGAGGGATTTTGAGTTCTTATAATAAACAAACAAATTCATTCTTCCTGACCTTTTGCTGGTATTTTGATTGCATGAGCATCATTTGCTGTTTTTGCCTTACTTCAGCTTCTGATTCCTTTCCACCTTAAAGGGGAAAAAAAAAAAAAAAAAAAAAAAAAGATAAATTGCATTTTACATGAGCATTTTAATTTCAAATACCAGCCATTTCAGAACAGAGCAATATAGCAGATTGGATGTATGCATATACAGGAAATTTTTCATAATTACAGTAGCTGCCTGACATTAAGGAGAACAGATAGGAGACCTTTTTGATCATTTTATCCATCCATCAAAAGCACTAGCTTGTTATTTGTAGAGCATCCACTGTATCATCCATTCTACCAGCAAATAAGTCCTACAGTAGATGATCAGTTTACTGAGGAACTATTCCATTCCCAGAAAATCAGTTACGCTTTGCACGTGAGTCTTCATTTTCAGATCCAGCTCTTGCCACCTTCGCTCAGTTTGTCACGCGTACAAATATAGAGTCAGAAATTTTATTACCAAAAAGTTTCTCTTTTATCAAGTTTAGGAGCTTGGAGTCTGCCAGCTAATGGGATGCTATCATTTGAATATCTTCTAAGTAATGTCTCAGGGCTTGAGGAAGAATCCCCTTTCTGAAATGGAAATGAAAGCCTTTTCCAACAGACCTCATATTCACATCCAGGTAGAAGAAGGTGCCCTTTTCAAAGGTATAAACTCTCTTTTGAGAACATCTAAACCTCTATCCATAATGGTCAGTCTTCATTTAAAAACAACAACGACAAAAACCCACCACAAACAAACCCAAACAAAAAAACAGCCACACAAAGAAAGTGATAATAGGTCTTAAGGGACGGAGAGAGTGGGCTTGATTCTGTTATTTTGTCTACTTTTTTCCAAAGTATTTTCTTGCTTTAGGATAGCCAAAAATTCATTTCATTCATCCATTCATTCATTCATTCATTGCAAAAAAAACCAACAGCTGCCTTCTGCCCATTCTGCGGATGAGGGCTGTATTTTCACCTAGTGTTTTTCTGGGAAGTTCACTGCTGTGCTGTTAATTCTACAGAAGCAGCTGGACCAACCTGTGCTATGTGAGGTGCCTCAAATCCTGGGCTGTGTCAAAAGGAGCATGACCAGCAGGACAAGGGAGGTGATTCTCCCCCTCTACTCTGCTCTGGTGAGAACCCACATGCAGTACTGCATTCAGCTGTGGGGTCCCGACACAAGAGGGACATGGACCCATCAGAGCAAGCCCAGAGGAGGGCTATGAAGATGGCAGAAGGGTTGGAGCTAGGTGGTCTTTAAGGTCCTTTCCAACCAAAACTATTCTATAGTTATATGAAATGTAAGACAACTATACTAAATCTTTCAGGAAATTGTCAACATTTAGAACTCTTGTGTTCACTGCACTTTTCTGCAAATACTGCTGGACATCAGCTCTAAACAAGTGTTTTTTCTCATCATTATTAGCCACTGCCTATAGCCTTCCAGCCAGGTTTAATTCATTCGAGTTGGCTTGGCTGTAATGTGTCAAAAGTTCCACTGAAGTCAGAGTATGTTGTGACTAGTTTTATATAGTATGATCAAAAGAGAGACCATGGTATTTATCAGGCATGACTTTTTGCTCCTCTTACTGTTTATGGAGAAGAGTGGAACATGCATCGTTCATTGCTCTCAACCCTCCATGCTACATGAAAATTTGCCAGTCAAATATTAGAGTTGAAATCCAGAATATCTATTTCCCTATGGAAAGCATGAGTGTTAAGAAACTTCAACTTTAAGCATTATCTGGTGATTTGAACTAGATGTGTAGTCTCTTAAAATCACTCTGAGAAAATAATATACTATACTCTTTAACCTTAATGAGCACCTACAGTTGTGAAATTAGAGGTGCCACTTATATTTGTTTCTCCTTCCTTAAGCTCTCTTCTGTTCCAAGTTTGTTCCTGTGAGAATGAGAAGATCTAATAATCTTTGCTTCTGACCGCTTTTCAGAGGTACTGAACATAGTGCATGTGTCTTAGTCTCCGTGGTCTTTCTAAGTGGCAGCTAGTCACCGACTGAAGAGCTCATATAACCTCCTTGAGTTTTTTCAGGTTTTTTTCCTCTCTTAATTTGCTTCTTTCCAAAGCAATGCAGTGGGACCAGAAGACGACTCCCCACACCCAGTCACTGCAGGTTTGCCACCACGTTCCTAGTCACGCAGCCAGCCTGCACGCATCCTGCATGGACACCACACACCAAACTTCTGGGTTTAGATTTCACTTTCTTCAGCAAGAAGCTTTGTGTTCCTCTTGGGACATGTTAGTATAGGTTTCCTACATGATCTCAACAGATTTCTTGAGTGACAATCTATGCTGTTTTGTTTCAGAAACATCTTTGTTGCCATGACCATCAAAAAACACAGAGTACACATAGTAGGCTCATGTTAGCCCTGATTGACACTGAATCTTTTTCACAAGTAGCATGTGAGAAAAAGTGAAAAATGTCTCATGACCTGGAAAATAAATTTTTGCAATTCAGAATAGCTGATTTACATGTCTTACCCAGTATCTGTGGAACCATGTTAATTGGCCTTTGCCTGTGCTCTTCCTTCAATCGCTCCAAGTCATCCAGCTCTTTCTTAGCAACTGAGCAGGTATAAAAAGAAACAAATACATGGAGGTTAGAGGCAACACTGAAAAGGAGGCACTATTGCTACTTATATGTAACCCTGAAGACCATCCAGGAACAGACAAACTTGTTCTCAAGGGGTGCAGACACCCCCAGGAGGTTACAGAGTCACTGCAAGGATCAGCTAACAAAACAAACATTTTGCCTAACTCTAGACTGTATGGTGAACAAACCCTAGGACTCAACCCCAAAAGCAAAACAAAAACCAGCAAAGAGACAGATAATAGACTGCTTTTTAACATCTGGGAACCTGCAGGTAAATGCCACAGTATTTACTCCTCTAGCTAAAGCAGAAGTTGTTACATTTAAGATGTTATGGCTGCATGGAGGGAAATGCTTGTAGTTTAATGCTCCCCAGCAGGGAAACAAAAAATAAGTGATCTTCCCTTCCAACCATATGCTCCATAAATAACAACAGGAGAAATGCATGATTCAGCTTCAGAGTAAGATACTTCAACATCTCACCCATGTGAGATGGGTGGCAAGTTCCCAGTGTACTCAGGTGAAGTCTAGACAATACAGCCAGAGGCACCAGCCACATGCTCTAGCATGGCTGGTCCACTAAACTGCTCTACCAAACTGACTGATAAAGGGAAAAAAATCAAAAATTCCTTTCAATAGCAAGGTTGACAAAGCCTACTGTAAGAGGACCTGTGTTTTACAGAAGTACATAATTCCTCTAGGCACTCATTTAACTCTTACTAAAACTAATATGAATCATATTTTCTAGTGGCAGTCTGTGGCTATCAGACTAGAGGAGAGCTAACACCAGCTCTCCTTTAACAAGACAAAGCCAATTCCTGGGAAAGTCTCTAAAGACACTCAACAGAGAAACCAGCTTGTTGTTTCACCTTTAAAACAAGCACTTATGTAGAGACTGGATTCGTTGAGGGCATATTTCTGCCAGTATCCAAGGCAGAAATAGCTGGCATGCTTCAGACTTGCACACTGGTGGCACAGAGTGAAAACAGGTCTTTATTAGAGCAGAAGCATCTTTGCCGTTAGTATCAGAGTCAGCTCTAAGATCATCTGCTTTTATTTCTCCTTCCAGGAGATTATAGTTTGGTTCAGGAGAAACCCAATCCCACACCAGCCTGATGGTGAAGCATTTGAGATGAACTCATGATGTTTGAGAAGAAAGGATTTAATTGCCCTGCCTCCTTGAGGGCTCAAACTGTAAGTAGTGTTGACTGACAGTCCTTCAGGCTTTCATAACTTGCACAAATAAACAGACTGGAATGTAGGGCTTCAGTGCTTGGTCACCTCTGCATACAGAATTTCTTTCATGACCAACTCTTGCTGTAACTTCACCAAACCTTTCTGGTAGAAGTTACGGGTGTTCCTGCTTGGCTACTTTCACCAGCAATACTCAAAGCCAAGCAAAAGTGAACTTATAGCCACAGATATTTTCCATCTAAAATTATATTTACAAGCTTCATTAAAAGAGACACCTACAATCCTTAAATGGATATTCAAGAACTAACAGTGGTTCTAGTTGCTTTAGTCTCAACATGACCGTATTTCCAAAAATATTTCTTACTTACATTTTCCTTCTTCCTTCCCCTAACCCAGAGAGTGTTCAAAGTTGGGTTCTGCGATCTAACTTCAATCCTGTAAAAGTGGGACAGAGCTAATTCCAGCTGAGTCTTGTAGAATCCAACTTGAACAGCTCCAGCACTGAAATTATCAAAAACCTTTTCCTGAACAAGGCTTATTCTGCATGAAGTTTAGCCAGATGAGAAGTTAATCCTAAGAAAAGCCTACATTATGATGAAGAATGCTCATAGCACCGACTTCACTGCACATAGAAAAGCATTGTGGAAATGAGGATGAAAGTTGCAAGGGCAATAAAGTGCACAAACCCAAACATTCATTCAAGTAGACATAATGTATTACCATATTAGACAACTCAACTTACTTTGCTGCAGCTGGTTTCTTCTGGTTTTGTTTGGAGTTATCAAGACATAAGGGCCAACACTAAAATGAAAGAAAACACTCATTTTTTCCTGTCTGCAGAAAACCAGGACTAGAAGGGGGAATCCTTCATCAGTTTTCTGCTGCTGTAACAAATAACTTTATATCAAATCTATATTTAATTTGATTCAGCTCTTCAGGAATTTCTTTGTAAATACCCTAGGAATACTTGTTATTGTTGGAGTTGGCTGCAAATATCAAGGATAACATTTTAGCATAGCCTTCACTTTTCTTATTCAAACCTCATGCCAGATTGCTGACCTCAAACCTCATGCATTTCAAATCAAATTACTTCCTTGAATCAAAATATTCCATACAGTAGACAATTACTTCCACAGCTTACTCAACCACAGAGGAAGACCAGTCTACTGGGAAAAGCGCTGGTGCTCCAGTCCCACCCCATACTTTGAAGGCACCTCGCGGGCACCAACTGCCTTGTGGGTTTAGGCAGTCTGCCCAAAAATTGTCCAATGAACATGCAAAATTACACTGTTTATGATGGACCCAGGTGACTTGCTCTCTTCCTGAGCCTTAGTTTCCTTGTCAGCCTTGTGTTTGTCAGGCAGCAGTAATTCCTTGGGCGTATTTATCTTGCTGTCATACCTACGGTGCAACTCACTGAATCAGGACAAAGGCCCTGTTTTGCTAGACTCAATTCAAAATGCAGTTGCTGTCTCAAGGAGCTATCAATCTAACATGACAGCAAAGAAGCAGGACAGGGTTCAGAGTGTATTAGAGACTCCAGGTGATCAAAAGAGTGATGAAAATACGTCAGTTCCACTTGGAGAAAACAAAGGGGTTTATCAGATGGTGTACTGCGTAGGTAGGAATTTACACTGCTCCAACTCAGCAGAGGCTGAGCCACAGGGGTGCAGGTTTACCAGAAAAGCACTAAGAGCAGTAGGCTCAATGTATCAGAGTAAGCTCAGTCTCTCTGCAGCATTCAGCATGGTTTTGTCTGCATACATGGGCACAAGTATTTCATCTGACTTCATTATGGAGAAGGCCCAAGGAGAAGAGCAGACAACAAAGAATAATGAGGGGTAAAGGCAGAACTTCTTCAAAGAAGAAACGGCCACAGAGGCTGGCTAGAGGACAAACAGAAAGTGGAGAGACCACTGTTGGCTGTGGAAAAGTAATGACAGAACAAGGCCTGAGACTAAGTCTAAAAAGGGAATAAAAATCATGCAAAGAGATCAAAGTGCAAAAAGCTGCCTGCTGCTGTATCACTGTAATTCAGGGTTTGGGAAGGAAAGTATTTATACCCAATTATCTCCTTCTCTTTGAAGACTTATTCTAGGAGGTTGTGGATTAATTTATGAGATTAAACTAGTAAAGATAGAGCTGTGAACTTTAATGGTGCCATTTAGTATGATCCTTTCCCTTTCTGCCAGCACAGACTGGAGCCCACGAGACTGCTCTTCACCTCTCCACCAAATTCCAGGCCCTCAAAGGCAGGAGCTAAGAGAGCAGCAACACCCCTCTGGCATTCACTTCACAAGTGCAACAGTTACTTAAAAGAAGTTTTGACAACCCCTCTTGCTTACGGCATAACATTCCCCATCAGTGACGTTTTTTCAGATTTTTCTTTATTTGGCTAGAAGTAGCATTTACAACTTATCCCAAAGTGCCTTTGACAAGCTGCTGTGCAGTTATCAGTGCCAAGATTTCAACATTTTTTAGTAGTTTTTCATGGCTGTTGCAGATATTAAGATCATATTTCTCTCAAGTTCATGCACAAAAAATAAGGATCTTACAGTCCCTGGCTGGGTTGCAAGGTTACCTATTTCCCCCCAAAAAAACATCAGGGCATCTCAGACATCACACTGCTTCACAGCACTAGAGAACAGAAGAGCTTCTACATCATCAGATGCACTTTGATGACTTCCAGGGGCATCTGCCTGTCTGCACATGCATGAGAAATCACGGTATCAGTTCTAGCCCTTATGCCATGAATCATTTCCTTTATCTGCTTCTGCTTTTTGGCTGGAAGGCTCAGAGTCTGGGAGGCCAAGTGGGGGCCACTCTTCTAACATCTGACCATGGTCATTATCTCTGAGCTCAGAAGGACAGCACGTGAAATACAGCAAAGATCAACCAGTTTATGAAAGGAATAGCGGTGATGGTACACTTACTGCCAGAGAAAGCTCGCTCTGTTTTCCAAAGAGAGGTTTAAGAGTCATTGTGGTTAAAAGAGTATTTAATAAAAGGCCAGTTTGGTTTCCATGTTATTGAAATAAAGTCAAAGTTAAAATAAAATTAGGATTTCAAGTCACCAGTGGAAGAGGGAAAGGGAGAACAGGATACCATCTTTTGGTTGTCTTTTACCTAGTGCTTATACAGTATAGGGTTTTTTTACTCCAAGTTAAGAGTACATAAAATAGAATAGAAAGTATTAGTAAGTTTATCTAATTTTATAGTGTTCACCTTTGTCTCTGGAGAGATAGATATGTAAGGCATGGGTACTGGGATCTGGGGAAAGGAAGAGCATGCTCATGGTAAACTTCTTGTGGAATGGATGAAAGTCACGGTTGAACTGGTCCTTGCTTTCCAAGCCTACAGTAGGAGAGGAGTCAGACAAGCTGTTGCCTTAGAGACTTCATCTGCCCTACCAGTTCTAATGCTAAAATTAAAATCCATATCTAGTGTCCCTTATTTTCTTGAGATTATTTTGAAGGAAAGCAGGTTAATGTAAAAACCCACCACCAGTTTCACCTGGTGTTTTTAGCCAGTTTGCAGGGTATTGCATGTCATTTCTTTGTTCAGACAAAACCTGTGATCCAGTAAAGCCTATAAAACCCTCTACAGCCTGTCAATTTAATATTCCAGTCAGTTTCTGAGCTGCCACAGTAGCCATAAGTCTGGAGCAAATTATCCTACTTACCTGGGTAGCAATTAAGGAAATGTGAAAATTCGAAGCTATCAGTGGTGTACAGACTTTTTATACTTCATACCAATACATTAAGTGCTTCAAAATCCATAACCAGAAAAGATGATAAAGAATTTAACTTTACAGGTTCCCTAACAGTGATTCTTATTGTTATATGACTTAAGCCTATCTTTGAAGTAGGGTTGTTCATAAATAAAAATACAGAAGTCACTGGAGGAGGTGGGGAGAGCATCTTACCCAGTTTATAACAAATTGTCTTCTACCTTTATAGATCATATTAAGCTTGATAAGACTTCTTTTAGTTTATTTTGTCCACAGAACATGGGAATGTATTGACTAATTACACAGACTGAACAGCTATTAATGAGAGTAAGAAAGTTATAACCTGGTAAAAGAATGTATCCGTATTGAAATAAAACCAAAATGCAACCTCATATGATTTTTCAGAGAGATGTCAAATACCACAGTAGTGGGAAGATAAGAACCTATATAACAATATATATATAAATAGATATATATAGAAACATTTCAGTCAGGAGAAACATGCAATACAGTCACAGAAAATTGCCAAAGGGAGTTTACAGTTTGAGTGATCAGTCACACAGAGAATACCATGTCTGCCATCTTAAATTCTGAATCCTATGTTTAAGTCTACTCATCTAACTAGCACTACTCAAGAGCACTTTTTCAATGTTTTCAGGGTATAGACCACAGAAACCTTTGTTCTACTTTCTTTCAGATTTGCATAAAATAGCTTCTTTAACATTAAAAAAATGTGAGAAGTGCCATTCACCAATAATGTTTTCTGCAGAGCTGTGCCCTTGAGCTTTTCCTCAAGACTACTCCAGCCACCTACCACTGGAGAGCTTTCCAAATGAAGTGTGAAGTAGTTTAAAGAGTTACAAAAGTAATGGCTATTATAAACTATTTCCAGTTCCACTGTGTTTTATGCTGCGGTGCATTGGTACATGAATGCCGCAAAGCTGAAAGCTGAATATTTTGCTCTGCTGGGCAATGGGATCTGTGTAACAGATGGAAACCGAGGAGAGTGTAGTTGGAGAGCAACACAAATTATCAAAGCTTGGGAACAAGACCTGGGCAGGTTCAGTCTGGAGAAAGGACTCAAGGGAAGGTGTAGTTGAAATACTTCATTAAATAACATGTTAAGACTGAATTTAAAAGAGAAAAGGGACCAAAGCAACAAACATGATTGTTAAATCACCTTCAAAGATGCACCAAGCTAAACTTTGCATTCAATTATCAGGAACTGTTTTAAGAGCAGCCGAGTCCACGCCACCATGAAGTATTGTTTTCACCAATGCTCCCATGCCTGATGAGTCAGCCTTATGCTGCTAAGCACCACTAGAGCTGCCAAGACAGAGGGCTACAAGATGCCAAATCCCAGTGAGCTGACAACTGTTCTGTAGGTATCCCTATTTTGCAATGCACCCCAGGCCAGATGCTAACAATAGCTGACAGCCACAGTTCAATATGGTCTGTACCATAGCAACGACATAAGCAGAGCTCCGGGAGGGTGCACAAACCATGCGTGCAGGCTTGGGGCTCTCCCTTTCCATCTTTATCAGAGGCAGCATCTTACTACTTTGCAGCTCAGAGACAAAAGTGAATTATTGGGCCTAAATATTATACACTGTCTGATTCAACCTAGCTGCATGTGTACTCTTTACATGAGAGGCAGAAAAAAACCTGCATTAGTAGAAAATGTTTATCATGAAAAGTCTATGTTCATGGCTTTTGCCCTCTTTTTGCCACAGGTTAGGTGTGCGCTTAATTACCACAGTTCAGCTGATGCCTGGAAGCTTATTAAGCCAGAGAAACTCACTTTGTATCTGATCCCTCTGGTTAGCTAAAGCTTTCATTAAAACAGCCAACGTTTTTACCACAGTGAGTTAAATCCTGCAGAAGTGAACTTGCACAGGGGAAGAGCGAGAAGAAAACAGCAGCAGAGGGAGGCCCAGGAGAAGGTAGGAGTCAGAAACAAGCAGGAAAGCAACAGACCTGAGGTTCTGCTGATGGCAATCAGATCTCAATTCTGTTACCCACAAGCTTGTAGATAAATTCCTGAAGTTACAATTTGGCGCAAAGAGTAAAT